CTTCCTTCCTTCCTTCCTTCCTTCCTTCCTTCCTTCCTTCCGACTTCTTAACGAGATGTGCCTTCTGTTTTTTGTGTTTTGCAGAAGTGACAGACATGTCATCTCTGGTGGTGAACATGGCAGTGGATCAGACAACCCTACAGGAGGGAGAAGAGCTGCTGCTGTCCTGCAGCATCGACACTCAGAACCTGGAGGAACGGTTCTTCTCTGTAGCGTGGCTCTGGGAGGGCATCGAGCTGGCCCGCATCGGCCCCACTGGTATTCTGACTGTGCCGCCTGAGTACAGCCATCGAGAAAAAGAAGGGGAGCTGAGGGCCATGCGGGTTGAGAACAGAAAATATACGCTCATATTAAAGCCAGTCCGAACCGCAGACCAGGGAAAGTTTATCTGCAGAGCGTGGCTGGAAGAGAGAGGCAGTGATGGAAGTTTTACTAAGGGAACAATCCAGGAGTCCAGCCCCCAGCTGATTAAAATTTCAGCAGCAGGTTTGTTGAATTGATCCCATACTGATTTATATCTTCAAATCTCTGACCAATAAGACTATGAAAAGTCATCTGCTGCCATTTGTCCACAGAAAGTGAGCTGTCAGTGGTGATGCAAGATGCAACAGTACTGATTACCGAAAGTGAAAAGTTGAGGCTTGTCTGTAAAGTGGGTGGATTCAAGGATCAGCTCTCTGTCACCTGGCAACGCAAGCCCAAACTCCAAACAGCCTTGCTCACTGACGTCATCAGTCTAAGTCAGGATGGCGTAATGGAGACGGGAGCAGATTTCATGAGCCGTAAAGTGAGCGGGATGCGTCCAGCAGCCGACAGCTTCATCCTGGAGCTTGATGAAGTCACGCCCTCAGACTCAGGTGTTTACCAGTGCACCGTGACGGAAAGGACAAGCAATGGCAAGATTTACAGTCAGTCACAATCTGCCAATGTGACCGTGAAATCTATCGGTAAGTTTTTGTTTAGACAAGTTTATTTCCAGTTACAACTCTTGAAATGTACTTTTTAAAAAAAAATCTTATGAAGAGATTTGATTATTGTTTAGAAAATTTAAAGTTCTGCCCTTGTTCTTTTAATGATACTTTCCAAGAAAGAAAAGCAAAAGATTCAGATCTGCTCTGAATTTGATTTTAATCAAAATGTTCAGCTCTTCTGAAGAGGGTGTCATAAAAAAATAAAAAAAAAACTTGAATATGGCGGTTCATGCTAACGCAGTTTTATTAACACGGCATAGTTCAATCAGGTCATCTGGATGGTTTCTTTTTTATTTTGGTTGAGACGTTTTGTCTTTCATCCAAAGGACTTCATCAGTCCGAGGAGCCACAACAAACTCAGTTCCACAAGCAGCACACTCACATAGTGGACCAACCAGTTTGCTGGCGATAAGTTGGTTTCTGGGGCCCGCCCTCTCCCCCTTCAACTCCTCTGAGGCAGCCATATCCTCAGCCTCTTTGATGTTTTGAACCACTCTGGCTATGGCTGCCTCAGACGAGTCAACAGGGGAGAAGGCGGGCCCCAGAAACCATCTTATCACGAGCAACCTGGTTCACCCACTATGTGAGTGTGCTGCTTGTGGGTCTGAGTTTGTTGTGTGTCCTCGGCCTGATGAAGTCCTTTGGTTGAAGGACAGAATGTCTAAAAATAAATAAATAAATACATAAATAACTGTCCAAATGACCTGAGTGAATGTTGTTGGATATTTTTACCTGGATTATTGAGCATGAACTTTAATCCTGTTTTAAAAACACTTACACCAGTGTCTCTTTTACATTGTGTGGTTATTGTTATAGCCTAGTGGTGGCCAACAAGGGTGGGGCCAATGTGGTGACCTGAAGGGGCACGGGACCCTCCTACAATCAGATTTGCCCCATGTACAACCACAGTTTGAAGACAATCAAATTTCATTTATTTTTAAACTTTATAAACTGCTGTTTACATAGATAATGTTCACATTTACTACTGCAAATGAATGCAACACACTGTTCACTAAAAAAACAATTAAAAGTTTATGCACCTCCAGTGTATTTGAATAGTTATGAGAGAACTAAAGGTCACACTAAAGTATGAGAGAAGTGACATTTAATTATGAAAGTAAATAAAATGAAGTTTTATTTTCAACACCAATGATTTATTATCATTTGTAAGCTAAGGGCAGAAAATACCTGTGGTGACATGAAGAAGGTTACAAACAGCTGAACTTTAGGCTACCTGCAGTCACAACGTGTCAGCGTTGACATGCCAATACTCATTTTACTTTAATCTAAATGTTCTGCACTGTTTCTGCAACATTATTATAACTTTTTTTATACTAATGCACCATTATTACATCATGATCTTTCTGTTGTTTACATGCTACAACCTCTTTTCCATTGGTGCCGCAGCTGGGCCCCTCATATTTATTATACCATAGCAAAAAAAAAAAAAAAAAAAAACCATGAATAAATAAATAATATATATATTCTTTCAGATCTGTCCCAAACTATGACAGACGTGTCAGTAAGAAAAAATACTTATTATGGTCTGTTTATTTTGGTATTGTTTGATTACCTTATATATATTTTAAACTTTTTGTGATGCAAGACGTAGTTTAGACATCGTGTCTACACAAAAAGGAAGTTATTCACCAACAAGGAACTCATTTTACACAACATGAAGTCTTGTTTACAGGCAAAGATTCTTCTCCTAACTTCTGTTGAAATCTAAAATGATATGTAGAATAATATTATAAAAATAAATAAATACATTTTATATATATATATATATAATTCCCTGAAGGAATGCATGTTGAGCACTACATTGCACGCCAAGGTTTTAAATAAAGGCCTTGCACAATTCGTTTGTACTCAGAGAATTTGTTGGGGAACAGTCTCAGCTACTACTATACCAAATGTGAATTAAATATCTATATGAAGTGCTGACTCATAACCATTTATGTTTTTCCTCCACTCAATTCGATGTGTCAGCCTTTTTGAATCCATTTGATTTGAAAAGTTAATCAGCTATGGTTGTACATCCAACAATTACTTTCAGGGAGTTTTATTACTTAATGTCCTTGTTCATCATGAGATATTTTAACAGAGAAACACAAAAACGAATTAAATTACATCATCCCTGTTTCCTTTCTTACCTCATGACTGTTTTGAATGTGTGTCCCAGAATCACTGGTGAAACTGTCTCTGAAAACTCGCTACAGCAGAGTGACAGTGGGAGATACGGTGGAGTTGATGTGCAAGGTCACGAGGCTGCACGTGCCCGCCATTTTCAGCTGGATCAAGCAAAATGAAGACTCCAGCCTGAACACCATTGTGACACTGTCTTCTGACGGTCCCATCAGCTGGTCTGGAGATCAGCATCATTACCAGGTTCAAGTAGAAAAGCAAGAAAAGGCAGTCATGTACTACCTGAACATCGTTGGTGCCAGCCACCGGGAGGCTGGGAGGTATCAGTGCGTGATGTCTGTCTTTTTGGAGAGCAAATACAAGAAGCTACCCCCATCTAACTCCCTGATGGTCGTCGTGCAGAACCCAGGTATTCAGAAAAAAAAGTACAATTATTTTGCTTTTTTCGTATAATACAATTTATTGACAGTTTTTCTCTCCTTCTTCTAGTGAGCAATCTAGTCCTAACTTCCAGCCCTAAAATTACACAAACTGTCAACACTGACATTCAAATGAACTGTGCCGTTTCTTCAAAACCACTTTATTCCTGTTTCTATGCTGTCACCTGGCTGCACCGACAGGATGCGGTTAATACGACCATTTTAAGCTCTGATCAGAACGCTGTTGTGAAATTTGAGCCGCACGTGGAACAGAAAGACAGGCATCGAATCAGCATGTGGCGCAAAAGTACGTCCAATTTTGAGTTGACTATTCGGCAAGCTCGACTCTCAGACAGAGGTGTGTATGAATGCAGAGTGGTGGAGTGGCTTCAAGATCCTCGTGGAGATTGGTATGCACTTCCAGCAAAGTCTGCAATTACAAAGTTGGACATTTCTGAGCCTGGTAGGTTCCCCCCCCCCCCACACACACACACTTAAAACTTATTCACAAAATGGTTTAATTAATGCAACTTGTTCGATTGCCCAAACACTATTTAAAAATAACCAAACAATGTAATTTTTGGTCTTAATCCTCTTTTCTTGTTTTGTAGCCAACGATCTTATTTTAGATAAGAAAAAGCAGCAGGTCATGACCAATGAGGGAGACGAAGTAAAGCTCAGGTGCAACATCAGTTCAGATGCATCTGCCCTTTCCTACAAAGTTTCATGGTTCTATGCTTCCCCCACTTCCCTGAGCATGAATTATTCTCTGGTGGAGCTGGATCACACCGGGCTGCTGACTTACCCATCGAACCAGGCGCTCAGTGGCCTGCAGAGTCGGCTTCGTCTCTCCAGACCCGCTCAGAACGACTTCTACCTCGGGATTCAAAGGGCCCATAAAGCAGACAGTGGGATCTATTGGTGCCAGGTGGAGCAGTACCAGCTGGATAGTGATGGTCAATGGAAGCAAAAAGCCTCAAAAACGTCTGGCTCCATTACACTCACTGTAAATGTCACAGGTAGGGTTGCATATTTTACAAGTGTCTTTCACAGTTTAGCAAGTGGTGATGCTAGAGGGAGAAATATTCCATTTTATGCTCATCTTGCTGTGTTTTAGAAACATGTAAACAAAAGTTCAGCCTTTATTTTAACAGACTCTGCTTTTACACATAAACATGAAAAAAAAAAGTCCAAATCCTGAGAAGTAGTTTTGAAAAGATTAAAAATGTGTAGATTTAGCTGAGTACCCACTCATCTGTTATATAACAACCAATATCCATCCATCCATCCATCCATCCATCCATCCATCCATCCATCCATCATCTTTACCCGCTTCTTCCTTTTCGGGTCACGGGGGTCACTGGTGCCCACTGGTGCCCACTGGTGCCCATGTCCATCAGTCACTGTGTGAGAGGCGGGGGACACCCTGGACAGTTCTCCAGTCCATCGCAGGGACACATAGAGATAAATGAGACAAACAACCATTCACTCTCTCACTCACACATAGGGACAATTTAGAGTTACCAGTCAGACTAACATGAAGGTTTCACCTGCTTCGGATGTTATCACCCATTAAATAGTCAGACTGTCCCTCCTGAGCGCATCCTATGTGGATGATAACAACGAATAATGACCATTTAATGGGTAATGTTATCCAAAGCCCCTGCATGTTTTTGGTCTGTGGGAGGAAGCCGGAGTACTCGGAGAAAACCCACGCATGCACGGAGAGAACATGCAAACTCCACCCAGAAAGGTCCCCGGCTGGAATTTGATCCAGTACAACCTGCTCGCTGAGAGGCAGCAGCTCTACCAACTGCGCCACCGTGCTGCTCAATCAATCTCCTAATAATGTTATAAATAAATAAAGTGCTATGTGTTGTCATCATTGTATGTTCCCATACAAATACGAAATTGGCTCTTTGCATTTAACCCATCGCACCTGGGATACACCCAGGTGGAGCAGTGGGCAGCTATGTATGCACCCAGGTAGCAATTCGGGATTAGGTGTCCTGCTCAGAGAGACCACGACATGTGCAATGACCGGGGATCGAACCTGTTCAGGCTCTTATTCAAGCAACAACTGACAAAACAACCAGAAAGTTTTTTTTTTTCTCACAAGTTTTGTCCAATCAAGCGCCTGCAATCTACTGAAAATGAGCCTGTTTTGTTTTGACCCACCAGTTGAGAGTTATTGTTTTCACCCGTGCACATTATTTTGTTGCCCCCATCAAACCACATTGTACTAGGATCAAGATAGACTAGTCGACTAGTCGATTCTAGGACATCTCGCAAGTTTTTATATTTCACGTCGACTAGTCGCAGATACACACACACACACATTCCCAGCCCTATTCCACCCAGTCCACATGGTGGATTAAATAAAATAAAACTAAGAAGAGTGGGGTGGATGGTGGACTCCATCACCACCCACCCCGCTGTTCTTAGCCTTGTTTTATACGTGCCACACATCTTTCACTTTTGCAGCTTATTAATAATAGTTTTGGTTTTCCTGTGACTTATTTGCAGTATGATAGAAGCATAAATACAAAGTATATCCCAGATGTTTTGTTGTTATTTTTTTTTTTGTAACTAATAAATGTCGTTTATTAGCAATTTTTAGTTTTTTGCAAATATGATATAGCTTTTTGAGTTCCTATGACGCCATAGACTTGTCAATGTCGACTTTTATCATGTTAAAGTCAATTTTTTAAAATATGTAGTCATTCAACCCATACATTGTACCAACCTCAACAGCTGCCCCTATATTTTTACAGTTAAATTCACTACATTACGCAGGGGAAGGCAAGATGGTGCAGTGGTTAGCATGTTGCCTCACATCACAAAGGTCGTAGGTTCACCTGGCTTTCTGTGTAAACGCATGTTCCTCACACATGTGGATTTTCTCCAGGTACTCTGATTTAGTTATATAGACCAAAAACATGCATGTGAGGTTAACTGTTTACTGTAAATTGTCTCCAGGTGTGAGTGAGAGAGAGAATGGTTGTTTGTCTTGTGGCTCTGTGATGGACATGGAACCAGTCTATGGTGGACCCCTCTTCTCATGTTGACTGGTGGAGATAGACACCAGCTCCCCTGAAAGCTGGAAAGAAAATGGATGGATAGATTGACAGATACTCTTTTAATTTGGACCAGTTTTTAATCATATTTCTCTAGTGTTCTGGGTGTTTTCCATCTCCACAGGCGTCATCATTCAGCTCTAGTATATTATTGGAAAGTAAACCATCATTTGAGAAAATTTGTTAATCTGATATAACCTTTAGGAATAAGATGAACTTCACACAGCTAACTTGTGAGCCTAGCTGCAAGGGAACTGAGAACTCATGGAAATATTTTGAGAAAGTTTAAAATCTCCCTCACCTGTGTTCTTTGACAAGTAGTCCAACAGCCACAGCCCAGTTACTCATGGTAATCTGATTTTATCCCCATCAGTACACACTTTCACACTGATCAAAGGGATTCTTTTGAAATTAAGTCCTTAAGAAGGTCAAATTTTAGATCTCAGATAGTTTACTTTGGTTCAAAATTCACTTTAACCTCTTTTCATCCTTTTTTCTAAATATGGTCTCTTCTGGCTGCTGAAAAACAAGATTACTAAACTGAAGCTTCAAACTGTTGTCTCCACACCAGTGAATGTTGTCATAATGACCTCGCCTCTCTTTTATGTGCACTTGTTCATTGACTTATTTCACTACTTACCTCCCAGTGTGCATTTGTTTGTTAGGACTTTTAAAAAAGTTTTTATTTATTTATTTTGTGTTAGTTGAGTAAGTTTTTCTACATATATAAAAATACAGTGTATAGTATGACTTAATCTCCATGAACTCATAGCTAAAAATAAATACTTTAGTAATTAGATAAGATAGACAATTTGATAATAGGGATTCACAATATTATCTGCATGGTATCGGTATCGGCCGATATTATTGATAAAGGTAAATATCGGACATCGGCCATTCCATTAAAATAATTCACAGATATTAGGGGTCACCACAGCGAACTAAGTCGCACAAAGACTTGACAGTTGTTTTTATGCCGGATGTCCTTCCTGACACAACCACAGACCAACGAGCTACCACAGCCCTCTGTGTGGAGCAGAGAGCTGCTGTGTACTACACCCAGAGGAGCAGATGGTGGGGGTTAAGGGCCCTGCTCGAGGGCCCGGAGTGGGGAGAATGAGAGTGGGGACAGATGTGGGTACCCCACCCACATTTTTGATGTTGTCAGTACTGGAGCTTGAACTGGCGATCTTCCGATCACATGCCCACCTTCTCTAACCTCTGCGCACCACTCCCATATATATGTATATATATTTACATATAGTGTTACATCATTTTCAGCCCCTTTTTGGCATCTATATTTCATAGCAGGCCAAATTGACAGTGACCATGCAGAATAATGTAGTATTTTAATTCCACAGCAGAGAAAGCTATGTAGTTTCTGTAAGTAAGTCTAGGGAAAAAATATTGGTATTGGTTATCGGCCAAATAAATGTTAACATTATGGCATATCGGATATTGGCCAAAAATCCAATTTCGTGCATCCCTATTTGATAATAATCTTTTGCAGATTGTGCATTTCCTGTTGCACGCTTGCATCTTTCAGGAACTGTGTTGTGTTCTTCAAACCACAGCTGTTTCTCAGTAATGTGACTTCTGCTATTGTTACCTTTAGTGTCTGCAACACTTTTCTCATACTATCACTTCTCTATAATGATTATAGTGATGTAGTATATTTGTTTTATTTATTTATTTATTTTTTTATCTCTGCACTTCTCCACAGGTGCAAATCTATCTGTTGAAGTCGCAGAAGGGCAGATAAACATAAGTAATACTAAGAGCTTTGAAATTCCCTGTCACATTACCCAACGATCCAGCGATGAAGCCCAGTACCAGGTCTCGTGGTTTTGGCAGAAAGATGCAGAAGCCAAGCGTCCCATATTCACAGCTTTCCGAAATTCCACTTTACAAGCAGGCGATAGGAAGGGTGCACTGAGATTCGATCGCCCTCTGCAGAACAACTTCACCCTGACGGTTTTGGAGCCTGATCCTGACGACAGTGGCCTATATTTCTGTGAGGTAGAGGAGTGGCTTTATTCGCTCAGCCTTGGGTGGAGAAATGTTGCCACGAAGAAGTCAGGAAACTTAAACGTTACTGTTCACACAGACGGTACGCACCTGTCATTGTGGAACAACTGACTCAGTTCTTAATCTTTGATGCTGAAGTCTGTTTTTCTGTTTTTATGCAGGAAGCAGTGAAGCTGTGGCTGACCACATGTCTGATTTATTTCCTGTGGTGTTTGCGGTTACTGTCATCGTCTTGCTCGTAGTCATATTGATTCTGGCCCTGAAGATGTGCAAGAACAAGAACTCTGCAGGAAACAAGTCAGGTCTGTCTCTTTGGGCCGAACAGCACCCTCTGAACGACAAAAGTACATAATTCTCAACATCAGAACTGAAATGACTGGAACAAACATGGAACATTTCTTAAGTATGTATAAATGAAGTTTAAATAGTACTACTGTACATAATTTTAGTATGAACTGTTTTTTTTAACTAAAGCTGTTCTGGGAACAGTTTATTTTTATGAAACATTGAAGTGTTAAAATTAAACAAGCACATCCCATTTTGCAGCTAAATAAATTTGCGTAATCTCCATATTTTCTGTCTGTAGCAGGAAGCTAATTAACTTTACATTAAAAATATTCTCCAAATAACAATGATTATGTTTTATATAAAGAAACGTTAATGCTTGAGAAGCCGCTTAAAATGTGAAATGCGTTAATATGCAAATATTTTTATTTTATAGCACAAAGAATAAATCAGGAAGTGCCCTGCGGTTTTGCACAAGACGGCTGTCTGTTCTGCAAATGTGCAAAAGTTGTGCTTGTGTCACGTTCTCGTCAAGGTTGTTTTTTTTTCTTTTTTTTTAAAGATGCACACGTAGATTTAGTGAAAACGTGCCTCGTTCGTGCTGTCATTTTCAGGACCGATGTCTGTAACATTTCTTAAGTCACAGGATTCTGTTTAGTTTTGTTGGTGAAACGTGTTGTTTTTTTCTCTGTGTAATCTGCACAACTACACAATATCTGTGAAATGTAGTGTGAGTTTTAACAGCTGTTTTAATGAGCTGTAGAGACGTTTCGCATCCTAAAAATATAAACTGGTGGAAAAGTGGAGCGAGACTGCACAATCTCATAAAGGAGAAATAAATAAAATATGAAATATTGGTGAAATATGGGTTCAAAACTCAAGCCATTGCTTAAAAGTATTGTATTTAGAAACTCAATTTGCATAAAATGTTCATTCTTAAGGTTGTTTTTTATGAAGTGAATCTCTGTCCCGATACAAACTGAATGTATCTGCTTATAAATAAACAAGTTTCTTAAAATTGCTTGATAATAAGTCAAATTTAAGCAGAAAGTACTTCCTTTCTTGTCTTCATTTCACCCAACATCAGCCCCATCACTGTTTCGCATCTTGTCCGAGTCACAGTAAACATCTCCTTATATTTTAGCAGCGAGTGTGGGTTCAGTTTTAAAGTAGAAAGACTCGATGGTCGGCTCTAAAGGTAAAATTCACAGTGTTTATTTATTTATTTATTTTTTACGCGAGATGCAAAAGCGTACCCAGAGCAGTCTGTCGTCTTCTCAGCCTCAAACGAAGATGCTGGGCAGACTTTGTTCCTGAATTATCGGAGCCCCTCACAGTCTGGTGGACTGGATCCTTCTTAACGTTCCTGTAACTCCAATTTATTGTGTTTCCATGGCAATACTCGTCTGAGTAAATAAAGGAAGGCTATATTTGGAAGGCAAATCAATGTGTGCAGCAAAGGTATTATATTACAGAGGACTGGTGTCGGCTTATTTATAAAAGTTTTAGCATTAAATCAATAAATATGATTTTTTTGTGAGGGTGTTGTGTAAAGATTATATTATAGTTATACTTCACTTATATATACACTGTACTTATTGTACACTTCACTCATTATAGCTGGAAGATTAGAACAGTGATAGATTTTTGAATAATCTCAGTTTAGAGATAGAGTTTAACTTTGACTGGATTGATAATCCAATGGTGACGTACCGTGAACAATTTGAGATTATTTTATTGCTCTTTGCTCAGACTAGCCATTAGCTCGTCAATTAGGTCAGAGTTAAACATTTTTTTCCAACAAATTGAGATTCTTCAAAGAGCCATCTCCAACTTTACATCATTGTTTATCATCTTTATCCAGATTTCCACTTTGAAACTTCTAGACATATTAAACAGTTTTGTCTTTTTGTCAGTGCAGTGCTGCCGAGTGAAGTTTTATCATAAAAAAAAATTGGGTTTACAAAGAAATATTAATAATAAATCTGTTATCTGGACCCACGGGTGTTTGTTGTTTGTTGCTTGATACGATGAGCTGGTTATCTCTGCGCCTGTGATTTCAGTTCCAGATCTGATTGGAAACAAAGTTTGACTCTGGCTCTTTTTTTTTGGGTTTGTTTTCAAACTGAGTTTGGTTTTGATCGTGAGAGGCGGATTGTGTTCTTGTGCTATCGTGGGAAAATACAAGCCTGAACTTCTGACTTCTTTTGTATGCACAATCAAGACGGAGGCTTTAATTTGCTTACAAAACATATGCTTTGGGCCTCTTCTTCTACACAAGTACAATGTTGCTTTATAAAACTTTATAAGTTATTATCATTAAAGCAATTATTAACACACACACACACGAGTAAACACCACCATCAAGGAAACGAAAGTGAAGTGCGTTTCTTGAAGCACGTTTGTTGGCTTTAGAAGCTGCCGTGCTGACTCGCCTGAATTCCACTGTTAATCCTGTTTTATTACGTTGCGCCTTCAGGGGCACCTTGACTTTTCTTCATGCGCCACCATGTGGAAAATGTACTTTCTTTAAAGCTCCATGTAACAACAAGACAGGCTGACGTACACGTTGGTGCAGATATTTGTAATATCCAGGTCAGACCTTCTAAACCATGCTGCACATCACTTGATTTGGTAGAGCTTAGAGTGTGTGTTGAGTATGACCCTCTGGTACTACCACACAAACCTTTAGCCCAGTAACAGTTCATTGGGTGGATTAAAGCCACTTTGTGTTGGCTAACCTGTGGCAGCCATCTTGAACGGGGCTGACTTCAAAATGTAAATAACTGAAGCTGTACAACCATTGAATTTCATTTTTTCCAATTGCATTCCATTAAAACCCGTCCACTTGTTCATGAAATGTTTTGCTAATGCTACAGATAAGCAAATACTAACACATGAGCACACATTTGATGCAAATATTGAACATTTTCTTCCTAACTGTAAAAGATTTACCCAAAGAGTTACCCAATAAAGTGTTTGATGATTTGCACAAACACATTGATTACTTCAGCGATCAGTTATACCGAGTCATCTACTTCCCTTTATGAGGTGAAAATGTTGCATTCAATACCACAACCTGGAAGATGAGGCATTTTGTTATGACACATTACATAAAAGAGCTGCGAGAAACCACAAGTGATCCTCCTAAACAACGGAGCTTTTTGGTTGGATAAGATATATGTTGTTATTTGTGACAAAGTCAAGTCTTACACACAACTAATCACTCACACACGCACATACACAGCATGAATGATCAAAATGAGTCACGAGACTCTTCTGAATAAAAAGATACTGTAATGTCCTTTGGCAGAGCCACAGGGAAGAGTCAAGCTGTGATCTGTTGATGCTCCGTAACGTTCCTGAAGTCTTCTCAGAGGTTCTGCCTCCTCTCCCCTCAGCTCACACTCCTTCTCCTCTCTGCACGTTTGTCTCACTTCTTTTCTCAAGAGGGCACAGCTTTCTGATCCCTGTCCTTTCTTCTGGCTCCCTGCCATTTGTCAACACAAGAGGGAGCCATTGTCATCCAAAATGGCAGATAGTTCCCATGGAAAAGATTGTCATGTGCTTATTAATGCAGCCATGAAACTTTTCAGTTAAGTGTTCCCTGAACACATGCTGTGATGAGATCTTTTGTTGGTGAGCTGAGCTTAGAAGACAAACGTTTGCTCAGTGTGTCTGAGAGGGAAAATGTAGAAATGTGCTAAATGTTGAATATGGATTCTATTTTTTTTTTCAGTCATAAATTAATCATTCATTCAGTCATGAACGAACGTTAAAATGTAAAAAAAAAAGAACACTGAAGACCGGGTCTGGTTGTAACATGGGGAGAGTTGTAACACCACCAAGTCCACCAGTCATGGATAAGATAAGAGTCATATGATCATTCCAGTGTTTACCCAATTCCTCCCTGATCTCACATGGTGATTGCCAAGCTTTGAAACAAACGCATGCAGATTCTATAAAGAAAAAAAATGATTTTGAGGTAAGAAAGTACATTTTTGAACCAAGACTATATTTTGTTTAGTACTTATACTATTGCAGATAAAACCATATGAACTATGTTACATTGAATTGTAGTTTCTCAGGCAAAATGTGATGCGTTTTCCCCCTGCTAATTTCAAACCACTATGCTAATACAGTATACGACTGTTTGAACTAAAGGATGGATAGTGAGTGAGCGAGCAGCGTGTTTCTTTAAGAAAAATGGGAGGGAGGCCCCTTGAAGTGACAGGGGTTGTCTCTCATTCCTTTTTTTTCAGTTTTCAAAACGGTGGCTGCTCGGTGTGGTTTGAGCTCTTTAGCATAGCATTTTTCACACAAAGCAATTAATTTAAAAATCAGTAAACAAGTTCTCAGTTTCTTTTTGCAGAGAAAAACAACTTTTTACGCAAAAGCACGGGTTTCAACAGTGAATTTTGGAGCTTCAACAAGACGGAGGTGTTTTCCCCGAGGTCGGTCTGTTAGCTTAGCTTGCAGCTTAGCTTCTCAGCTTAGCTGCTTTTAACAATCCAAAAATGCGATTTTAGATGGTTAAATGGATTTTAAAGAGAAAAGAGAGAAAAGGGAAAGGCCAAGTTGAGTCTTTTGTCATCCAGTGTCTTCAGCAGAAAGCAAGACACGAAGAAACAATAAAGCCGATAAATGAAAATGAGGTCGATCATTTTAATTTATCGTGCGATTAATTGATTTATTGTTTATTGCAACAGGGCTACATACAACTAAGAAAACTTACTTGATTTTATTAATTTTACAAAATGCCTAGGCAGTGGAAAAGAAAAACAGACAGAGATGTGCCTGCAAATGTTTAAAAAATATATATGCTTGGATGAAAATGAATCCTGCCAAGACGATGACAATATATCATATATTATATGATATTCCAAGTGTTGGTGTGATAGTTCATGATGCTGATCCCTAACATTTATGCTAAACATTAAATAATTGCACAATGCTTATGTTTAATCTTTGACTTTAAATACTGGAATCAACTTTGTTAACAAAACATTTCATGAACCAGTGGGTAATTGTAATGAAACATTCAAAATAATAATCACTGGATTTATA